CCGCCCGGCACGTACGGCGGGAGCTGCCTTTTGGTGGCCCTAATGATTTGCCGCTGCAGGCTAATTAACCCGGCCCCATCCCTTTATCCGTCCATGCGCCATTCATCTGGTGCTTCCCATTGCTTGCGTGGACCCTCCCGGCAGACACTGTAACTGGGCCCCGCTTGGGCAGCAGTAGACCAGCTGTAGTACTGACTCTGAGGAGGCCTATCATATGAGAGTTTGCAGGTAGCCGCGCAGCTTTTTCCGTAGGTTTTGGGCGCTGCTGCTGCCATGCCAGTACGTATGCCATGGATGGGATAACTATCTGCATCACATCACTTCACTGCATAGTAAGCGGGTAGTGTTAGAAAGAGGGCTGGCTTTAGATTAGCTATAATGCTGCCTGCTCCTGCATCCAAAGCATGAAGGCTGCCCAGTGAACCCGCGACACGTGGATCTTCAGTTGCGAGACTTCCCAGCCAATTTTACTCAGCCTGCCACACGTCGTCATCTGAGTGGGCTGCCGCACGGTGCCGTGTACGGGAGTCCTGTACCCATTTTTTCCTGAAATAGTAATGATCATGCTTCTTTTTTCCGAAATAGTAACGATCATGCTTCTATTATTAGGTTTAATTGTCTTTTACAGTGTACTCCTACAATATCAGAAATAAGTGCACCCCGAAAAGAAGAAGCAGGTCAGAAAAACGCAACAGCAGCAAGGCGCAAGCAATGGACGGACAAAACAGCAGCATGTGAGAGCCCGTGGGCCGTGGCTGCCTCGGACCGCGCGCGATGGCCTGTGGCCGCCATCGGATCGAGATCTCGTGGTCCTCCCCGCCGGCCCGCCTTGTGCGTGCGAGTCATCATGGCGTCGTCACACGTGCCGGCCGCGTCTCTCGAGCGCGCTCTGCCAAAACACGCAGCGGCCGTGCCACTGGCCAGTGGGACCTCGCACCCTACTTGTCCACCTGATTGGTTCACACGAAGCAGACTGCAGACGCAACGAAATGCAAAATTCTTATATACTGAAATGAAAATACCTTAGCTGTTTCGCTTACTGGTCCACCTTTATATATTGATCAGCCGACTCGGTTAAGGATTTGCATTCATGTTTTTCAATCAGTAATATAAATCAATACTTTCAGAGCTGAAAATGGTAAATTTATAAAAAAGGGGCGACCTATATATGTGGCAGTTGTGATTGGCTCTGATGAGTCGGTGCTGAGTCCGCGCCCACACCAGAGCACACACACACTCTCTCAGCCAGGACCCTTGGATGCGCATCGTGTGGCCCCCATGATCGATCTGTGTTTCTGTGGATCTATGGTCTGTGCTACTTACAGTTACCGTTATGGATGAAAACGGTACGGATATTTTTTGACCGTATTCGAGACCGAATCCGTCTAGAGGGGTTCAGATCTGTCCGTATCTGAGTCCGGATATTCAACATCCAATTCTGTATTCGTATCCGAATACTGAAATCGCATATTTATGATGTCGACATCGAATCGTATCCTATCCGGCATGGCTGACACTATTCGTATTCGAATCCGAATCCGGTCAGAAATATGAAAACAAATGTAATATCAGTGATATCCGTTCGTATCCGATCCGTTTTCATCCCTAGTTACCGTCAACATCCCTGCATGAACAGAATAGCGATAAGATACACTACGGATCCATGAGATCCGCCACAACAACATACATTATGCAAACAATAATTCCACATGAAACCAGCATATTTATACGTTGTATATGCATATGGTCCCAGACCTGCATAAACAAAACACAACACAAAATCTTCTTGTACATGATAAATACAAGGATCGGAGAACATAAAACTATTTTAGTCAATGGAGGAGAATCACACGTACTGTACAACGAGTAGGACCGTAGGAGCGGTACTTGTACTTCTTCTCGGCTAGCTCTCATGATCGTGCTGTGCCCTAGCTTTCAGAACTGATTGATGGCGTCAGATAAACAAAAGTGAGCAGAACAGACACACACAGAGTTAGCGCCCAAATTGATTAGTAGCATCTCTGGCCAAGTGTGAATAAATAATAATCCGCCATGCACGCATTTCCGGCGAGAACATGGCACGGATGGGAATATACACATTCCCAGCCGAAAGCAACAACTACCTAATGCTAGAGTCTAGTTCTGAAAGAGATCGAGCTGTCACAAGCTAGCTGGGGGCTTAGCTCACTGCTATTCCGGCGAGATTGAAACGATCTGACCGGTCGATTATCGATCACACAGAAGAAAAAAAAAGGGCAGGCATCGACGCATCCTGTTTGATTCAGAAGCCAATTGACAGCAGACAGTGACGACATGCTGCGTGGTGATTTTCTAGGTGTTGACTGTCTGTACCGCCTTCGTTATAGGCGCATGTGGTGAATATGGATATCAGTACCAATTAACAGCTTGTAACGCTGGATCGCCAGTACGGTTGAAAACTTCAAATGTTGCATAGCTTGCTTACACAAAGTGTATTGCATAGAGGAATTCCTAGGCCGATAAGCCATGGTTGAAAGTATTGTTGGCTGATTTGTTGTGAGAGAAAAATATTGTTTGTTGGCTGAAAAAATACGGCTTATAAGCCAAGCGAACAGGGCGATAACCATGGCCCATGGGCTCAAAATCGCATCAAACTGTGGCGCTCTGGCCTCCAGCCCGCGAGGAGCGCGTTGCAACACATGGACTAGGCTGCCAAATGAAGTTACTATAAAGTAAAGTGCACTGGCGGTCCTCGAATTTGTTCGGGTATGTCATCCTGGTCCCTCCACTGGTAGAGAGACCGGCTCTACTCCCGGTTGGGAACCCCTTTTAATCCCGGTTTTCCAACCGGGAGTAAGAATCCGGGACTAAAGGCCCCTTAAGTCCCGGGTCAATAACCGGGAGTAAAGCTCCCTCCTCAGTACAAAAAGAAACGAATTTCTTGAGACCTCGCTTGCGCTCTGTGGGATTCGAACACAAGACCTCTCTCATCACGCATAGATTCCTTACCAACTCAACTGCACACCACATGTGACATAGTCATCTGCGCTCCTACTTTTAAATTAACCCGTGAGGGACCTTTAGTCCCGGGTGTGAGACCTTTAGTCCCGGTTCGTAATACCAACCCGGACTAAAAGATCACCCTTTAGTCCCGATTGGTGTTACCAACCGGGACTAAAGGTTGGAGGACTTTTAGTCCCAGTTGATGGCTCCAACCGGGAGTAAAGGTCCACCTTTAGTCCCGGTTGGTGTCTCTAACCGGGACTAAAGGTCCCCTACCACTGTGCCGAGCGCAGTAGCCGTTGGGCAGGGACCTTTAGTCCCAGTTGGAGACACCAACCGGGACTAAAGGTCTCTCTAGTCCCGGGTGCAAAAAATGTCGGGACTAGAGCCCATTTTAGCCTCGGATAAAAGGCCTGTTTTCTACTAGTGCTCCCTAAACTCGCAAATCGACTGTTCACGTCCTCAAACTTGCTCATCCGTGTCATCCCGGTCCCTAGACTCTTAAATCGCTCGTATAGGTCCTCAAACTTGTTCGGCTGGATCTAAACATGCAAATCACTCGTTTAGATCCTCTAACTTATTTAGTTGTGTCACCCTGATCCCTAAATACTCTATTATAAATATAGGCCTTGTTGGAGTTAGTTCGAGTTCGACTGGGGCCTTGTATTTTGTGTCGGTTTGCGTCATGATTCGATTATGTACTATGTAAATAAAGAGAGAGTCTATTTTTACCCCCCTTAACTATCATATAAAAGTTAGCTTTTCCTCTCTTCAACTCTAAAACGGAAAATAGCTCCTTTCTCATCTCTCAAAACCGGATAGTTGAACTCCATGGCCGTTTTCTTGATGCTTTTTCTTTTTTTTCTTTTATGTTTATTCCAGCTGAATATTTGAAAAATCGTAGTATTGGGCCAGATTGAATGCCGCTTTGTGATTCACAGAGAGTAAATTACATGGTCGCTGGTCTCTAAACTGTTATCCTGTTAGGACTGGTCATGTAACTTATATTTCATTCAGAAATGAGAAAAACTCCATTCCACTTTGCTCAGCCGGCTGACTTTGTCCGATTTTCCTCCTTAAAGTGAAGTATGAGACAGGATATCGTACACCCTAATTGTTTAATACTGGACAAACTATACGGTAGCTAGCTTCGAAGGCGGCTTTAATATACCTACGTCAGCTCAAGAGAGATAAATTAAACTACGTTTATAATTCCTGATCAAATAGATTTTACCAAAAGAATTATAAAACATTTTATAATACAATTTTTACAGAAGATTGCAATTAAATATCTTAACACGATGTACAAAATTCGAAACTAGTTTTGTATTTTTAGTTAAAAATAAAACGTATATCGATTCTCTAAGATTGAAAATTATTTTAAGATTTTTAACTGCATTACTTTTGTAGGGAAAATATTTAGACATATTTTTTAAAAATATTTGTGTAATTGTTTTAATAAAGTATATTTGACCCGTAAACTATCAACTAGTCCAATTTGGAGTTAACATAGCATCACATAGGATGATTGATGTAGCCCCTTATGTAGTCTAAAACGATCGTAAAAAATCAGTTAGGGTTATGATCTATCCGGTATTTAGATAGTTTATTTAAGGCATATGATGTCTGATTTCGTATTTCAAAGATGGAAATTGGATGACGACGATAGTTGGGGAGGTCAAAATAGAGACTGTTCCCTTCAGAAACTGACAGCACAAGCTGTGATTGCATCAGTGTGTAAGGCACACAGCAAGCATCACTGGGTTTCACCGGTTGTCATCATTGTTAGACAAATAAAACCACTCGTCGGCTGTTGCTTTAGGGACATGCGTGTTCATGTGCCGACACATATAGGGGTGGACTGGGGATGCCTCCAATCCCCACCTGCATGCTGCTCACAAAGTGATTTTGCTTCTTCAGTTGCCTGCGTTCCAGATTGCTATTTCTACACAAATGGCTCATATCATCATGTCAATTCTATTGTCATCAGAGTTCTCCATCAGCCTAGCCGTGGGAGTTTACCCAAATGTCCACATTTTCCCTTTACCATTGGACTTGAGATGTGTTCGTTTTATGTGTTGATCAATGGAGTCTCGAATTCCTTCGAGAACAGAGACCACCTTGTCCATGGACGGCCTCATCTTAGCATCCAAGGCCAAGCATTCAAGAGCAAGGGCAGCGACTTTCTTCACCCCGCCTGTGGAGTATTCACCTCCTAGACTGGTATCCACCAAACGGCATATCTTGCGCCTGTTTATGAGATGTGGCCGTGCCCGTTCGACTAGATTCTGCTCCCCCTTCGGCCGGTTTATATCAAAGGCACAAAGCACTACCCCAAAACCGTAGATGTCGCTCTGCACAGTAAGTTCCCCTGAAAGTTTTCAATTGTTATTACATTACAGGGATACTGCTTCAAAATACAAGCACTGAATATATTATTCTTGGGAAAAGGCAGCATTACAACATTTTGTGGCAGCCAAGTTAATGCTATAATGGGGAATACACAAAATATTACTCCATGTTTTGGATCCAAGACAAGCAAGTAGTGCTCAATTTCGGTGGGTTCGAATTATTTTCATGTAATTGTCTAAACCAAATATTTGTTACTGATTCTTGCGACACTAGTCCCATGCCGTGAGGATCAAGTTGATCTTGGTAAGCCTAGACTTTTGTGCGTTATATTAATTAGGGTAAAGTATAATTTACACCCTCCAACTTTCATCAAAGTATGAATTTCAACCTCGAACTTCAAAACCGGACAACTTTGGCCCTCCAACTCTCGAAAAAGTTCAACTTTCAACCTTCAGGACGGTTTTGTGGATGAACAGTAACTTTTGATATTTTCGGGAGTGCCGAAATTTTATATTATTTTTTCGAGCATCTTAACGTCCTCAAATGAAAAAACTCAAAACTACAAAGTTGTAGATCTCATCGAGGTCTACAATTTACATATAAAAATTATCTTCATCCGACATCGTATTGAAGGGTTTTCTATTTTTTGAAATTTGAGTCTCATCATGCGATAAAATATGGTGCTGAAATTTTATATTATTTTTTTGAGCATTTTACTGTCCTCAAAAGAAAAAAATTAAAACTATAAAGTTGTAGATCTCATCGAGATCTACAATTTACATATAAAAATTATCTTCATCCGATATCGTATTGAAGGGTTTTCTATTTTTTGAAATCTGAGTCTCATCACGCGACAAAATTGTTTCACGCGTGAACAGTGACGCTCCAATCACGCGTGAATAGCGCCGCTCCAATCACGCGTGAACAGTAGCTGTTACTGTAGCTGCGCGAGGGTTAGGGCTACAGCCGCAGCCGCCCATCCTCCACCACGGCGTCCAGCCGCCGGCAGCGAGGTTCTCAGCCTGTTCCACCTCCCTCTCATCCCTACAGACTCCGTGATCTACGCGGTAGGATCCGTAATCCTATCAATTTAGTACTCGAGTTTCCACTCTGCCAAACAGGGGTATACCAAAATCAAGACACGGTATAATATTTTGTCCCTAATACCGTAATACGTTAAAATCTAGGGTGTCATGACAATCATCCAATGGCACGTCTAAGATTTTTGTAATTATGTTAGGCACAAAACAATTGATGTGCTCCTATCCTTAGCATGTTCATTGCCACGAAATGACCTTTATAAATATCCATGTGCTCAGATGGATTCCCTGCTGATGAACCTCAGGCAGATGGTCCCTTTAGCTTTCCAAATTTGCAATGCAAGTTAGTTACCTATGTAAAGCGAAGAACAGGCCAGCTATTTCTTGAGCACAACACTCTCAGAGGCCACTGTTACTATACCACAGCACGAACTCACATGGGGCTTGTTAAAAATACCAAATAGCATTAGAAGGCCGGACGTTAAAGAGTTCTAATGAACGGTTGGTTGTTATCTCATTTTTTCAATTTTCAATAATTTGTTGGCCGGTATTTTTATTTTGCTTCACCGTTGTAAAGCGAAAAACAGGCCAGCTATTTCTATAGAGTAGTGGAAAAGGAATTTGATGTTTCTTTCAGTAATACTTATGATTTCAACAATACTCTGAACAAATCCGGTAATAGCTTAAGATGGCTTCAAATTAGAAGTAGAAGTAATATCAGCAGCAAAGATTAAGGCATCAAACAAAGTAGCTAAGCAGCAAAAAGAAAAAAAAACAGAGAGATAAAACTGACCTTTCGACAATGTACCTTACTGAGGCAACATCATGTTTTTACTCTTGTTGTATCACTGTAGGGTTACTTTTTCAAAACAAAGGAGTAGGTTGCTGTTTGTTTGAACATTCCAAGAAATACAGTATTTGCTGATTTGAGCACCAAGGATGCTTTTGACGCTTGTGTGGTTATACCTTTGTTGTATAGGTAGAAGGTAGTTTTTCCATTATAAACAGGTTTCCATGTTGACAGCATGGAAACATTGTACTGCATGCATTCAACTATTTTATAATAAAAATGGACCTAACTGTGGTACCTATCTGTTGATTTTAAAAGTAGCTTTATCTTCCCTTTGTTTCTGAAAATTATCTAGTTCTTCAATTGTATTTTTACCCTTGCATATCCTCTACTGCAACATTGGGAATCATCGATCTCTTGGTCAGCGGCCTGTGATATTCTTCATGGAGGAACACGTCTATTTTACCTGCATTTTCCTCCTTTGTTTCTTCCATATTTACATGGCACCTTGCAGGTTCTTGCTCTTTGTAATCATCCATGCTTGTTGGGAAAAGAGGAACCAAACGATTGTTCATGTGAATATCTTCATCGATCTATTCATTTATCAATCATTTTATAAAAGTCTTAAAATGGAGAGATCTAGTTCAAACACTTGACTAAGTGCTATGCTGTTATGTTCACCTCATCTCGTGTAAGTCTATCTCTGGCCCCAAGTGAAAGCTCTAGTTTGGTTTTGGTGAATTGATGAAACCCTAAGTGTTAACCTAGTTTATCAAGTGATCATGAGATAGGTAGCACATTCCAAGTGGTGAAGCAAATGAAGATCATGACATGATGATGGCGATGACATGGTGATGATCAAGTGCTTGGACTTAAAAAGAAGAAAGAGAAAAACAAAAGGCTCAAGACAAAGGTATAAGTGGTAGAAGCTATTTTGTTTTGGTGATCGAAACACTTAGTGAGTGTGATCACATTTAGGTTCGATAGCCGTACTATTAAGAGGGGTGAAACTCATATCGAAATACGGTTATCAAAGTGCCACTAGATGCTCTAACTCATTGCATATGCATTTAGGATCTAGTGGAGTGCTAACACCCTTGAAAATGTTTGTGAAAATATGCTAACACATGTGCACAAGGTGATACACTTAGTGGTTGGCACATTTGTGGAAGGGTGAAGAAGATAGAGGTGAAAAGGAGTTAGTCGCGCTGGTCACGGAGGGACCGGACGCGTCCGGTATGGTGACCGGACACGTCCGGTATTAACGACGAACTCAGCGATCGGACACTTCCGGTCGCCACACCGGACGGAATCAGCAAAGTCGTTGTTCGGTGAAACAGTTGACCGGACGCTGGCAGCGTCCGGTCTGGAGTGACCGGACGTGTCCGGTCGACCGTGGGGTGCTTACTGAACTCGACTGGACGCTGAGGCTCAGCGTTCGCTCAGTTTCTAACAAACGCGTCCGGTCGGCCCCGGGTACTCTCTGGACTTGGTCGAATACTGTGGCTCAGCGTCCGGTCATCTCTATTTCAGCGTCCGGTCGCATGTAAGTGTGGGCAGCAACGGCTACTATGATTTGAACTGGACACCTGGTGGTCTAGGAGCGACCGGACGTGTCCAGTCGACCTACCGAATGCGTACGGTGCAGCATCCGGTGCACTCGAGCAGCGTGTCCGGTCGATGCGCAGTCAACCCAATAATTGAGCCAACGGCTCTATTTCGTGGGGGCTTCTATTTAAGCCCCATGGCCAGCTCTAGCTCACTCTCTTTGCCATTTGCATTGACATAGCAACCTTGTGAGCTTAGTCAAAGCCTTCCCACTCATCAACATCATTGATTCATTATCTTTGTGAGATTGTGAGTGAATCCAAGTGCATTGCTTGAGTATTTGCATCTAGAGGCACTTGGTGTTCGTGTTTCGCTGCGGGATTCGCTTGTTACTCTTGGTGGTTGCCACCACCTAGACGGCTTGGAGCAGCGAGGATCGTCGAGCGGAGGTTGGTGATTGTCTCCGGCTCCGATCGTGGTGAGTGTGAGGGGTTCTTGACCTTTCCCCGGTGGAGAGCCAAAAGATACTCTAGTGAATTGCTCGTGGCTTGTGTGATCCTTATCTTGTGTTGGTTGTGCAGCACCCTATTGAGGGTTTGGCGTGTGATGTCAATTAGCGCGTGAACCTCCAAGTGAGTGAATCGCCACAACGAGGACTAGCTTGCCGGCAAGCAAGTAAACCTCGGTAAAAAATCATTGTGTCATCATTTGATTCCGAGGTGATTAGTCTTCATTGGTATTCATCCTTGTGATTGATTGGTTTACTCCTCGACACAACGGTATAACCATCTTACTCATTCTCTTTACATTATCGTAAACTAGTTATCAAGGTCTTTAGTGTAGCTAGTTGTGAGAGCTTGTTAGTTTGGTTAGTGTGACTCTTTAGTTAGCCGTTGAGAGCACACTAACTTAGTGTAGTGACATAGCCATTGTGTGGTTAGAAACTATAGAAACTAGAATTATGGTAGGTGGCTTGCATTTTTAGTAGGCTAGCACAACATTTGCTTCGCCTCATAATTGTCTAACCGGTTTGTTAAGTGCTGTTGTAGAAATTTTTAATAGGCTATTCACCCCCCCTCTAGCCATTAGGACCTTATAAGTGGTATCAGAGCCGAGGTCACCGTGATTTAAGGCTTAACAACCTTCGGTATAAAAATGGCTCAAATCAACAACACCAAGAAGCCACCCCAATTTGATGGCTCAAATTATCCCTATTGGAAAGCTAAAATGACAACTTATATCAAGTCAATCAATAGAAAGGTTTGGAAGGTGGTAGAGACAAAGATTGAGATTGAAGATGAAGAGGCTCCCACCGCCGCCGAAGAAATGCTACTCCAAAATAATGACATTGCTCTTAGTGCCATCCATGATGCTTTGGATGATAGAACTTTTGAGCAAATCAAGAACATTGAGAGAGCTCATGAGGCATGGAAGAAATTGGAGGAATAATTTGAGGGCACTCAAGCCGTGAAGGGTGCAAAGGCATACATTCTCAAAGAGAAGTTTGCAAGCTTTAAGATGAAGGAGGATGAGAGTGTGCCGAAGATATTTCATAGGCTTCAAGTGCTTGTTAATGATCTCAAAGCACTTGAAGAAGAGGTGAAGGACAAGGACTTCTCCCATAAGTTCTTGAGATGCTTACCTTCAAGATTTGGCACATTGGTCACTATTGTAGTGAGAAGTGGTTTGGACACCATGACACCAAACCAAGTGTTGGGAGATATAATGACCGATGATACATATAGAGATTATGATGAGAAGGAAGAAAAGAAGGTGAAGAAAGATTTGAAGAAGAAGAGTGTGGCATTCAAGGCCACATCATCCAAGGGCAAGGCAAAGCAAGAAACATCAAGTGAAGATGATGGTTCATGGGATGATGATGATGATGAGAAGATGGCTCTCTTTGTCAAGATATTTGGCAAGTTCATGGTGAAGAAGGGCTACCGTGCTAGAAGAAAGAAATCTTCATCCAAGAACAAAGAAGAGTCAAGAAGGTGCTTCAATTGTGGAAGCAAAAATCATCTTATTGCTCAATATCCATACAATAGTGACAAAGATGATAACAAGAACAACAAGAAGAAGGAGAAGAAGGAAAAGAAAGAGAAGAAGGACAAGATGACATTCAAGAAGAAGGGTGGTTCATATGTGGTCACTTGGGATAGTGATGCTTCCTCAAGTGATGATGATGATAGTGATGATGACAAGACCACCAAGAAGAAGGCACTTGCAAGCATTGTTATCAATGAGAAGCCTTCTCTCTTCGACACTCCATCATGCTTCATGCCTAAGGCTACTAAGGTACAAATTTGTGATGATGGAAGTGATGATGAACATGATAATGAAAATGATAGTGATAATGATGATGATGAACCTACTAAAGATGAATTATTTGACATGCTAGAAGATGTTAAAAAATACTTTGACATTAAGAGAAGGGAATGCAAGAGCTTGAATAAGGAGGTAAAAGCCCTTAAGCAAGCCCTTGATGAGCTCAAAGCAACTCATGAGATGCTAGAGGAAGCCCATGAGAAGCTTGGCAAGGCTCACAAGAAGCTTGAAAAAGCTCATTCCTCTTTGCTTAATGAGCAAAATAAAAAGAAGCATGTTGAGACTTGTGATGTAGGCTTAACTTGTGATATAATTGATGATTCAATATCTATGCCTATCATTGTTGCTCCCGCTAACCCTTCTTGTAGTACTTCTACTTTCACCTCATCTAGTAGTGATGGTTTCACTTGTGATGCCTCACTAATGATTGAGAATGATAACCTCAAGAAGGAGGTCAATAAGCTCACTCACACCTTGGCTAAGGCCTATGGTGGTGAGGACCGTTTGCTTATGTGCTTGGGTAGCCAAAGAGCTTCTCTCTACAAAGAGAGATTGGGCTATACCCCCAAGAAAGACAAGGCGACCTTTCCTCACAAGACTAGTTTTATGAAGAACAATGGTCGGTTTTGCACTAGTTGTAAGCAAGTTGGTCATGTAGAGTAAAAGTGCATGAATAAGAAGTCACAAGCTAATGTATCCTTAATTAAGCTTTGATGCTTTCTATGTGCTTACCAAGGGTGCAAATGGTGTAAAGGCTAAGTTCATTGGTAAACTATGAATGGGCTCAAAGAAGAAAGCCATTTGGGTGCCAAAGAGCTTGGTCACTAACCTTCAAGGACCCAAGCAAGTTTGGTTACCTAAAAAGAATTGATCTTCTTTTGTAGGTCAATTACAAAGTCAGAGGAAGGCATTGGGTTCTTGATAGTGGGTGCATTCAACACATAACCGGTGATAAAAGAATGTTCAACTCAATCAACACCAATGGCAATGATGGTTATGATAGTATCACATTTGGTGACAATGACAAAGGCAATGTCAAAGGGCTTAGTAAGATTGCAATACCCAATGACATGAGCATTTCCAATGTGTTGCTAGTAGAGAGCTTGAACTTTAATTTGCTATCAGTGGCTCAATTATGTGATCTTGGATTCAAATGCATATTTGGGGTAGATGATGTAGAGATCATAAGTGTAGATGGCTCTAACTTGATCTTTAAAGGCTTTAGATATGAGAATCTATACTTGGTTGATTTCAATGCTAGTGAAGCTAAATTATCTACATGCTTGTTCACTAAGTCTAGCATGGGTTGGTTATGGCATAGAAGGCTTGGTCATATTGGAATGAAACAATTGAATAGATTGGTTAAGCATGACTTGGTTAAAGGCTTGAAAGATGTTGTGTTTGAAAATGATGAGCTTTGTAGCTCTTGTCAAGCCGACAAACAAGTTGGAAACACTCATCCTAAGAAAAGCATGATGAGCACTAGTAAAGCATTTGAGTTATTGCACATGAATTTGTTTGGGCCAACTCAATACATTAGCATTGGTGGAAACACATATGGCTTTGTGATAGTGGATGATTATACTAGATACACATGGGTATTCTTTCTAGTGGACAAAAGTGATGTGTTTGCAACATTCAAATCATTTGTCAAGGGCATTCA